CTCTTTCCACAGGTTTCATCTGTTTAGCTCCTGGGTATCAAGCCAGATTGACGAATGCATAACTCCTCATCTACTGTAAGAATCGGTTTGTATGGACACAGCATCACACATAAGCTTTGTGAAATAGAAGTCAACTCCCTAGAAAGGTACTTTTCTGCCTTAACCATGAAATCACCTTCCTATTCTTCCCATAGTTCTCATCCTCTTTCGTAACACACTCCACAACAAAGGAGGGAGGGGTTTCTGCACTTCATAATCATGACATGCACCCAAGTTTTCCCTGTGCATGGTATGAAGAAGAGAGCCCGCAGAAGAATGCAGCAGCACAGCTGCAGATAGATGGTCATACATCCTTGACACTGGTGAATATTTTTTTCTGGGCAATTCTTCTATTGTGTAATGTAGAACACTGCTTTAAAGAAGAACTAAAAACACATGTTCTGCACAAGTGACACTCTCAAATGATTGAGGCGCTAAGCATGGAAGTTTATTTAAATAAAGGCCAAAGAAAACTGAAGTAATAACATTTTGCTGAGGTCTACTTTTATTTTACGGACATAGTGGAAAAAGTTTAAAGTTCTTTGTGCATGGTTCGTAATTTCAGCCCTAACATCATATTTCCACAGAGCAACTATAGCTGAAACAAACTACAGAAAAGCAAATGCTTTCATTCATCAAACTGATTAGTATTAAGTGGATAAAGACAGGTTAAACATTTTTCAATATTAATATGCTGAATTGCCTTCATGCAAAAGTAGCATCAAGACTAAAATAATGTATTTTAAATGTAGCTTTAATTCTGACACTGAATGATTTTAAAGTTTTTGCATATGCATTACAAAGTAACTCATTCCTCACTTCCTCCATTTGGCCAAGATAAACTTATGCAAGTGAAAAGGAAAATCAAAACTTCAACAGCTAGAATAGTAAATGTAGTTCTTAATTTCTCCTGCATAATTGGGAATAGTTGATTTACTTTGAATTTTAATGATGACTGTACTTAGAAATTTTGGTACCCTTATCTTAATTTCAATCTTAAATCTAGTCAAGCTAGATATTATGTTTTCATTTCCTTATTAAACTGGAATCCATTAAGGCCATGTGAAGGTATTCCTGGCTTGTGGAATTGCTGACAATCCAGGATACTGGTTCCTTTACTCATTCTAAAAATGCAGTAAGTTTGTGCAGGTGTCCACATAAAAGGGACAAACAGGAAAAAACACACAAAGTCTGTGTGATACAGGCAGTCACTGCCAACAGCATGGCTCAAAGAAGTATCACAGTTGCTAAAAGGATATACTTAGATAACAAAAAAGCTAAGTGTTACCAGATTTATTGTATTTAGAGTGTGCTGTCAGTCTGCAGAATATGAACTTACTTTGGCAATTAGGCTTTAGAATTCAAGTAATGTAATGTTACATTAAACTAGTGCCAATCACAGTGAGCATATTCCTGGCACACAGCTGGACTGCAGGAGTTAACTGGCAGCTTCTGGCTGCACCAGAACCTGCCATAGACAAACATGAGTGAGCTCCCAACCCCCGTTTACTGACTCATAGCCTGGCTATAAGGGCTAGAATCTGATATAAAGGAAGAGCATATTGACTTCTTTCGGAAGGTGAAGTACAGAATGAGGAAATAGCAACTAACTAATGAAGGTGAGGAAGAAAAAGTCTTCATGATGTGAAGAGATAACCCTGTTCAAGCACTATCAGCAATATAAGAATTAAGAATAGCTTGTTTCTATTCTGATTTAGTGGTATAAGCATTCATGTGGTAACTATCATTGTAACATCTGAACACACTTTACGAGTACAGTAGCAAACATTACCAGCTCTCTCAAATAGGAGCCCACACTCTGACTCCCTCCAGCACCAAATTTGTTTGCCTTCAGAATTGCAGAAAACTATCCAAGTAGGTTATGGAGACCAGAGACTCCCAGAACCAGATGTTACCAGGGAGCTGGCGGAATGAGTTCTACATCTTGTTCTCATTGCAAGCAAGTTTTGGCCCAGAAGATCTTCCTTTGATATCTGACTGCTGTTCAAAGCAAAATCCTTGGCATACACCTGCCTTTTTAATGCTTCAAGAGGCAAAACAAATGCATTAGAGGTTATTCACAGGTCTCCGCAGCACTGAACATACCAAATCCTCTGCTGTTACTGGTTCTCCTTTCTTGTCATTAGCTACCACCATTTTCCCCAGTCTCTCTTTCATATCTTGAAGGCTGGTGGTAAGTGCCAGGATAGCCATAATTTCACTTGCAACAGCAATATCAAACTGAGCCTGTAAAATAGAAGTGAGAATCATGAACCAATTCAAAGTCAGCTCAAATTCTCACATGGAATCATCAGGAATAATCTCAGGAAAGACAGATTTCACACTGGAATTCAAACAAGTTCTAAAGTGTAACCTACAGCTTTTGAGTTTGCTCAGACTACAGTAACTTCAAACACTCGGTCTATGTTCCCTCATTAACGTTCTCCATTACACTTCTTTTACTTGGGGACCAGTCTTGTAGAGTGCTTAGCCCCTTGGCTCGCATTATCCTTAGCAAAAGCTCCACAAAGAACAAAGAATTTTTTTTTTCTGTAGCAAAAAAAGAGAATCACCAGATGTGTTTGTGCTTTACTGGCATGAGCACAGCATTGTGCTGATTTTTGTTTGTTTGTTTGTTTTTTCCTTTTTCTTTCTGTAATGCTTGCCAAAAGTTTTTTACTCTGATTTCAAAGACATTCTTGCTACATTTAATCATTCTTTTTCTACATAAACTCAAAATTTAGAGCTTATTTTGCTAGGTCTTGTGCTTGACCTGTGATAATGTAAAATATATCTTGCCCCTCTCCCACTCCCCCCCTTTTTTTTTAATGAACAAATGTATAAGTTAGTTAGAAAAAAACTCCAAGAACTACAGGTGGCATCAGTTCTATTGCTCTTGTAGAAATAAATCCGTACTCTGCAGTATTTCAGTACAATGTCAGCTATGGTCCTTACTTTTCTTTAAAAGCTTGCAGTATACATTAGCAGTACTTGTGCTAATTTACTATTAGTAAAGCCCAGGTCACATGCTAACAGATGTGAACAGAGACAGCAAAGTCCCTAATGCACTGTGTGATAGGAATGCAATGTTGAGGCTGCATTCTTCTGCAGCTTCTTTAGTAATCTCTCCATGTCCAGCAGAAACTTAGTAATTGACATGCTACTGCTATCTATGTATAAAAAGCCCCAGCACTGTTTCTATGTCAGACCTCTACTAGATGTATCCCATTCTGACTGATACCAGAACAATCTGTTCAAACTGGAGGCTTTACCTGTTTTTAAAAAGCTTCCACATAAAGAACTGTTCAATATGTACCTTATCAGTCCTATCTCTTTGCCTAGTACTCTGACAGCTTCTGCCCTTTTACGCTTCTGCTTTTAGATTCTGTCTTGACAGGTACAGCCCAGAGCAGCCCTATTCAGGCTGACCTCTGTGAAATGCATGTTTAGGCAAAACTTCTGAAGACAACCAAGCACTTTTCTGCACTGGACACAGAGAGGGAGAGATATATACAGAAAACAAAAAATAATCCTGTAATTGAGATATTCAGCATAGGGATTCAAATGGAATGCTGAAATTACAAAGCAGATTTTCTGTATTCCCTGGAAGCAGTTGTATACATAACAGAATAGCTGGGTACACAGTGAACACTGCTGGTGGTGTGATGATACGGATGTTACTATCTTTTCTGAAGTTAAGAATGTCTCCAGTACATCATTGCAGCATATGTAAACCAGGAAATAAGCCTGAGACATCTATGCCTGGCCTATATACTGGAATATTAGCTAACTTTATCAAGAGACCAAAAAAAGGTTTTTATTATCACTGTTTCTATATAAACCCAAAAGGACAGGAAAAACAACCCCAGGTAGATGCTCGAAGAGTGACATAATATTTAATTGAAAAAACAGGCACAAAAGACTGTGGTAGCAGGTGCTGTTTTAACTCTAATAACCTTTATACACCTATGAAGTGCTGATAGAAGCCTCAGCTGTAAAGTCAGTTCTCTGTTGATGAAAGGATCCACCCACCTGGATTCAATTGCAGGATCAAGGGCATCAGTCATGTAATACTCTTTAGAAACCACAGCATCCCTGTTCATTAAAATGCAGACTTTTGTGCCTGCTGTGCTCTGCCATTTTACACAGGTGTCATTGATTTTAAGAGTGCTAGAACATCACTCCAAATATTTATAAAATGCATCTGTTAACTATGAAGTCCTGTTTTCTCTGGATCTCCGGCTAGGCTCTGAAATGAATTTTCCTGTTAGCTCGAGTCACTAAGTACATGTTAAAAGGCGAATGGGTATGCATCAGTCCAACATACCAAAACCAAATGCATCAAGGTAATTTCACCCAAAAGAGTATAGAAGTAACATTTGACAGCCATATGCCAACTAGTACTCTATAATAAAGCAACCCACATTTAAATATGCAGTATAATTACGGTGGTAAAATGCTGCACAATAAGGCTGGCAGAACCTGGCTCAAAACTAACACTTACACTGAAACAAATCTAAACATAGGAAAATGTCTCAAGTGTTGAAGGAACTTGTACCAAGTATAGTATTTTGTAGTCCCAGCCCATTATCAGAAATAAGTATTAGCCAATATTGAGCTTTATGTAAGTTATAGACAGAAAAGTCTCTACCCCGTGTGTACAAAACCAAAACAAGTGAGCATTTCTAGTGGAAGGTGTCCCTGCCCATGGCAGGGGGGTTGGAACTAGATGATCTTTAAGGTCCTTTCCAACCCAAATCATTCCATGATTCTATGACTTTTCTTTTTAAGTTCTTCTCTCCAATTTGGCTGTTTTAACCTGCTGAATTGAGCAAAAATACTAGCACTGTTTTTTGGTCTCTTTATTTAGACATAAAGCCTAGAAGAGGCCTGAAATGCTGAAGAAAAAGTAAAGATACAATTTCCAAAATTAATGAAAGCATTATCTCTACCACAATAGCTGTTCACCTCAAAATAGTCAGAACTTCATGATTTCATTATCCAGAATGTTATATTACAGTATCTTTACCAAATTATATCCACATCATCACAATGACTTTGTTCCACCTGTTCCATACTGCATTGTTTCAGAGACTGATTTACCCTCACAACACGAGGAACACTTGTTCAGGTACTGCTGGAAAAGTCTGGCTTTCAATTTATCAGTAAGTTCTTTAATTAACTTCCAGGAGCTCTCCTATAGTATTGTATGTTAGCTTTTTTACACATATACTCATTTTCTGAAGTATCACCTTAAGCCCACATATTAAAATTAAGCACATACTCAAAGTTCTTACAGTTTAGATCCCACAGCTGAGATGCACGAGAAGGAAATGAAAACTCTGAGTAAAAAGCTAATAGTCATTTTCAGTCCTCATCAGTGGGACCAACAACACGTGACCTGCCCCTGCATAAATACTACTTAAATAATCTGAGTGACTTCAAGAAAAGTAAGAAAAATCATACAGAGTAACCTTATAAGGATATAAAAGCACCTTCTATACTCACAGGACAACAATGTCCAACTCTTAACATGCATTTTTTTCAAGTGCTTTCAACACATTGTGCAATATGCATTAATTTCTAGGCTCTGAAAGCTTGGACTCAGTTACACCTTAACACAGTTTCACTACAAGAATACTATACAACAGCAACAGATGTTAGCACTGCAATTCAAAGTAAGTATGCTGAAAGATATGCTGCAGAAACATCTCTCAGCCTCTAAAGTCAAGTCTGTCCAGAACATATTAACTGGCTTTACATACCTGACGGACAAATCCTTTCTCTGTATTTGCCTGCCCAATTGTTATTTTGCGCAGTAATCTGTCATTTGTATCCACCACTGAAACAAGCGAATAGCAAAAGCAAAACACATTAGCAAAGACTCAGGTATCTGTTTTTTTCCAGGCATACCTGTTAATCTACATGTAAGATTCAGCTGCTTGAACAGTGTAACCAGACAGCCACACTCCTGTATTTTAGCATTAGAACTGACTTGGTTTCTCCCTTCTAATTTACGCTATTAGGTGACAGGTTGAAATAACTCAAATACAATTTACCTGAACAGTATTTGAAGCTAACAGATTCTTATATTCTAACACACAATTTAATATTTTTCCTACACAAATCTGTCTTAGTAGACACAATGCACCTCAGACCTACTTCAAATCATTTGCTTCATCATTGACTTGTTAAGAACTGATTTTAAGACTGCATGATGTAGGTTAAACCTGGTCTGTTTCTCTTTTAAAGGATGATTATGTTGTCAGATCGGTTCTTCCAGACGAGTCACTTTCATGCAGATTACAGTAAATAACTCCACATTCAGCTGCACAGCATCCAAAGAAAGTTTTTTTTCAACTGACAAGATCATCCATCTGCTATTTAACACAACTTCAATTTCAGACAATTGTATTTCTAACCTGGGAACACTTTTGGTATTGCAAGGGCATGTCCAAACCATCCGGTGGAACTGCTAACTTCACTATCATTGCAAGTCAAGTTCTCCAACTCTGCACTGACAACCCTCAATTTCAAACATGCCTTCGTACTTTGAACTGATCAGGATGTTTCTTGGGAAGAAACATCAGGAGGACGCTTCTGTTTGTTAGAAAATGAGACCAAACTGAAAGACCTCTCCTTCCCATGAATGGCAATCCCTACAGTATACAAAAATGGGCCCCCTCTTTCTTAAGGGCTTTTTAGACCTACAGATGTTTCCACTTGCACCAGCCCTAAAAGAAGAAGTGGAAATCACCTTCTTCCACCTTTCCTGCTGCTTTTGGAGATTAACAAATTTCAGAAAAGGACAATATAACTACCCAAGACCAAGGGACTTTAAGTCTCAATCCTACACAATCCCAATTTGGGGTTGTGGGTGAGCTGAGAGAAAAGCAAGGTTTAAGCCACTTCCCCTTCTTGGCTATTTCTCATGGAAGCATTATAAATACCACACGTGCCTTCTTCTGACTACATGGTATTCAGGCCCCTAGTTTCTTCAGGAACTCCATTTAAGGGATGGTGCAACTATTTCTATTTATACACAGTCATACTCTCAAATACTACAGCACTGTCAGAAATTCCAAAACAGAGCCTGGTACATGGAAGCAGTAGCCTCATACCAAGCTGTGGTACCATATGCCACCGTGAAGCCATATGGCAAGGTGATATCTCAAGAAAATAATTATCCCTTCTCTTCCTAGGAAGCTCAGTCTCACAAGCAGCTTTAAGCAGACCTAAATGTCTTTCCTGCCTACCCAGACACTGCTGAGAGCAGGAACTAGCCTTCCCACCAGCCTGGACAGCCAGTGGGCTGCTTTTTATCTGGTCCTTCCTAGTGAAACCATATAACCTGAACACCCTTTACCATGAAATTGTAACTACCCCAGGAACTCTTTCTGGTCACCACGATACACTGGCCTTTTTTACCGTGGTCAGAATTCATTCTCCAGGAGGATTCCAATAGCTGTGTTTAGAAGTAGTAAAATAAGAATTAATTGGTTTTGCCACAAAAGCAATTCTTCCTTCTCCAGATTTTCATTTTTCCTTATCCAAAGTAAACGTTTCAGGAAATTTCAGGTTCAACCAAGTGTTAGGTTTAATGTATCTACTTTCTTATGCTCTAGAGACATAAACAGGATCTGAGTACCAGGGGAAGGGTAAGTAGGGGAAAGCTTTCTGTCTTTTCAGCATGTTGTACCTGCTGAAGTTACTATATGATGACAATGAACTTTAAGCTTGTGACACTTTTAAAGAAACAGGTCCTGACTAAAATTAACTTTCAGACAATCTGAAAGCTTTCTCTTCTGCCCTACAAATTCCCTGGTATATAACAAGCTTCACATACATACAGATTGCACAAACAGTCCCAAATACAACATTTTGCAAGTTATCTAAAACATTCCAACCCCTTTTTTTTTTTTCTCTGAAATTTTTAAGACATGTACATCATACAGAGTTGTGTGGAATAGGAGGTTCACTAACATTGTTGGAGATTAATTAACTCACTTGAGGCTAACAGCTGTTGAGTAATGCTGCCTCCTCCCAAGCCCGTGCTGAAAAAACGATGATTCGTATTACTCTAAATATTTATATTACTCCTTCATCCTAATACAGGTCTCATCCAGACACAGTGTGACTAATAAAAAACATCTTATGCCACATCCCCCAGTATTGTCTTGAGAAAAATATTCCAAGTTTGAGATGACATGCAGCCGAAGGGCACGGTAAGCATGGCCAAGATGCCCCATTTCTCACCAGATTCACCTTATTTCTCTGAGCATCACAATACATTCAATTTAACAATGATTTTGAACTATATAACTTTAGTGTTTGAGAACTCAGGAAAAACATAAAATCCAGTGGAATTTAGCTCATAACTTTATGCAGGGTTTATTTGTTTAAAAAGAAAAAGAGATACAGAAATTGAGGTAAAAACTGAAATTTAACCCAGCACTAGAACTGGAAAACAACAGAGGGGAGTTGTCTAAGGGTGTGAGAGTGGATATTGGTTTGCTTGGCACACACAGCTGAAATTGTACTACATCTTTCACCTCTTCTTCCTAACAAAGCAAACAACTCGAGACATTTTAAAAACAGGAAAAACACATAATCCCTGATGCCTATTTAGTCTCTGAGCTACCCAGACTGCTGAACTGGGGAGCATGAGGGACCGAAGTCAAGCAGAGTAAGTACAAATAATCTAACACATAATAGACAGAATTAAGAAAAGAATGGATAAGATTTGTAAAATGCACAGAAAAGTAACTTTCATGTTTTGAGATATATTATGTAATATAAGAGAGATAAGGGGTGTACTTAAACTGTCAGAATGACCTATCTTTCAAAATATTAGCAAAGTCTCTTGAGTTACTGCAGATATTTGACCAAGTTTAGAACAACATACAGCACCTGAATTTGTTATATGCCCACATTTCCCACTTGCAAATAGGTTGTTCTTATAGCGAGAGAGCAGAAACAGCTCTGATTCATGTAAAATTAAGCAAATCAGTTACAACTAAATCCAAGCAGAAGTGAGGCTTTCTGACTACATACCTCTTTGCCATGTTATGGTAGATGGGTCAATATCAAGGCGAGCAAATTTGCTAACCTCCTCTTCTGTTAAAGTCCCAGGATCAGTCTTATTTATTCCCAGCCTCTATGGAAAAACAAGTTTAAGAAACACAACTGAAGTGGGTTTTTTGCTTCAAAAGGTATAGCTGCTCTGGCTTATCACCCCTGCTTTCAGCAAGCATTTTGGAAAGAAGCATCTCAGAATCAAAACTATTAAATAAAACAAGCACACAGGAAAGCACCTGTAGCTAAAATAGGGGCAAATGTAGACGGAGAAATGAAACAAGAAAGGAGAAATAGTCATAGGTCTCTTTCTTACTCAGAAAAACCTCTTAATGTAAACCAAAGATGAAGTTTAACATTATCTATTACCAATAAAAAGATGCTTGCTCTATGTTGTGGAAATCTTTGAAAGACCCATGCGTGGTCTTGTGTGAATCATCTTTGAATGAAATCAAAAATCCTGCTCTAAGAGCCCATCATCCATAATGTAAGTCACTTATAACTAATGAGCCTACACCCCCCCGGCTTTTACAGATTCACTATTTCAGCAACATCAAACCTGGTTTTTAGATGAATCTGCATAAAGATGGATCAGAAAACTGTGGGAACTGTATTCTTAAAAAAAAAAAATAAAAAAAATTTAAAAAATCTTAATTTTCTCTGGCATTAGAAAGCCATTCCTCAGTGAATTAACCAACATGCTTAGACTTCTTTATTACTAAAAGTAAAGTAAATCTAGAAGTCTAAATATACCCAATTTTAAAGAGTTACCACAGTTGCTTCCCTCTATAAAACAACAATTATTTCTAGAAACTTGAGAACATCCTTTTGAGTATTAAAACTGTTTTAGAAATGCTCATTTTTAAGCATTGGTCTCTTAGACTGAGGGATGCTTTCAAATCCATATGCAGGCACTAGGGCATTTCCCATTGAGCCGAGAAAGGCAAAAAGCCGTAGAGAACAGCTTGCAGGTGCTGACCCTTGGTACCCTGAGATTTTTTGCCCCAGTTTTAATGAAGAATGGTTTATGTCCTGAACTGCCAGCCCTATTCTGTATTAGTATTTTTCTATTATGTTGGCTATTTTTAATCCAATTTGACATAGTTAGCAGATAGTTTCTTATAAATTCTATGAAAATAGGAAGACTGAGAAAGGAGCAATATCCCACTAGCATCTCTACTGGGGGATGTCAGTCACAGTCTTCCTCATCCCTCCTGCTTGGTGTATTGGACATTTGCCCAGATACATATTTCAGAGCATTTTGCCCAAAGCATTTTTCCACAGAGGGTCAACAGCAAATTTTTCAGTCATTTTTAAAACTGTCAACTGCTGCAAGGATGACTGGGCACTGAAACTGCAAAGGAAGCTGCCTATCCCTCCCAGGGTCTCAATAACATTTATACTGGATCTAAGCAGCAGATGGGAGGAAATAAGACACAGAGCTGACACACAAAGAAAAGACTGGGATAGAAGCAGTTAAGAAGTGGAGGTAAGGTAAAGAGGTCTTAGGCTAATAATTACTGGAGAAAAAGAGAAAAAGCTGAGGAGCAGGAGAATGAGAAAAGTAATTCCTGACATTAAACAAGGAGTTTGGAAAAGAAAAAAAAAATTGCATGGGACTTTCTGTAATTACAAGTGCAAACCACACATGTAAGGGAGGAGTTGCAATCTTAATCCTCTTTCAAAAAAAAAGTAGCCCCATTCCATAAACGTATTTGTTACTTTTTTTTTTTTTTTTTTTTGCTTTGGTTTGGTCTGGTTTGTTTTTTAGGTACAAGGAATCATTATACTAAAAATAATCCACAGCAAAGTAATTCAGATATATATGAAATTCTGATGCATGTATCTGAATGTTAGAAGCAAATTTTTTACTATTTTTACTGAACTGCAGCTCACATGATGAGAGAGAAATCCATTTCAAATGCAGGGGTAGCTGGTATGTCATGAAGAACCAAAACACGCCCCCTTGTCCCCTACCTGTTACCTTATAAACAGCATAAATGAGGACAAACTGAAAATACTCCAAAATTCTGATGGAACATTTTGAGACCTCACTGCCATGGAGTGAAGCAGGCATCATCCCCATTTTAGTTTACTGACATTCAAATGAGCAGCACAAAAGCTTAAGCTGTTTTGAGAAACTTTTTTTTCCTTCTTCAAAACAGATCTGATATTACCTCTATCCTCCTTTTCACCCCTCAATTCTAAGTGCACACATTGGCAGCTGCTCATTGCCTTCCAGTGACTCTGAAACAACACCAGTCAGGACTAAAAAGCCAACAATAAACATGGAGCTGGACACAGAAGACTGAAGCTATCCTTAAGGGTCATATTCAAGGGGTTCATATTTTCTTTCCCCTATGCTAGTACACTGTGTTGCTCTCTAAGTACTCATTAGAATGGCAGCCTCAAATACAGACACATTATTCATACATGAATTGCACAGAAAGCTCTTCTGGAAGCATTTAGGAAGCAAGATGGCATGCAAAAAATATACCATGCACACAAATGTACTTCTACCCCTCAAAGGAAGATTGTCAAATTGACATCAATAAAACCCCAGAAGTATATGCCATAATACAGAAAATATTGCAAAACCAAAGAATGTGAGCTTTCAAATGTGACTTTACCATAATAGGAAAAATATTTTAAATACTGTAACTTTAACATTTCATCAGGAAAGATACAGCATTTAAAAACATTATTGGTTTATTTCAGGAGAAACAAATAGCAAAAATGTTAGTTATGAAAATAATATCAGACCCAGATCCTATTACTTCAAGGATGATGCTTTCATAAAAAAAGTCTGGACTTGAAAAATTCATGAGGAAGGTTTATATAAACTTGGTCCCATACATCAATTTTAAACAAGTTGCATAAAAGAGTATGTTTTATGAAGAGATAATATCATTGAGGAGCTGCTACACCAACAACTTACTCTCAGGCGGGCAAGCTGAACTGCAGAAAATCCTCTCATACCATTAACTACCGGAACCAGTCTATTATACAAAGCCTAGAAAAAACACATGAGAAGTTAATGAAAGAAAATGTTACATCCAGGAACTAGTTAAATAAAAGCTAATGTTTTAATTTTACTCAGAGTAATTTCATTAAAATTTCCCAACCACATAAGTTGTGGACTTCTGGTTAGCAATTTAAAAAACAGTTCTGAGAAGGTGGTACGCTTTTGATCAATGCCTATGATTAAACAGTCCAAAACCAATTATAGAAATTACTGTGTTTCTATGTTTCACCAAAGAAATATGTATTATTTTTGAAATTGGGAACTCTTTAAAACTTTAACCAAGGTCCAAATTATTCAAATGGTAGCTATCATTTGCAAACTGGCCTAAATGCACATTTGTATTATACCAAGTAAAGGGTTGTTTTAACTCAGCTTTGCTGAGTTTTAACACTGAGCCAAAAAAGGGAAGCTCCTTCGTTTACTTTCCCTTTTCCCTTTAAAGACCCAAGTTACATTTGTGTTAAGATCACAACATATTTAGCGGAGGGAAGAGGATCTACTTTATTTTCTCCACAACTGCTTCTTCTTAAGGTACATCACAGCCAACTATACACCAGAAGTGTAATTTTTAACTTTAGAAGGAGTATACAAATTACTAAAAAGATTAAGATTATATATATCTTTTATTAGATATATAAACATCTTTTATTAGACTATTTAATACAGTCTGAAACAGTTGACAATGTTCTGGGCATGAGATCCTTATCTTGAAGACTACCTTACGATAAGTATTTGCCAGAAAAATATATCCGATAAGCAAAATTTCCCAGCAGAACACAGAATGGCTTCAGCACTAGTTTCTGTTCATACAGTGAAAACATAAAAAGATAATCAACTTAGTTTTGAAATGCAGTTTACTGAAAAACAAGAAAGCAAAAAACATCACGTGATTATCAGCAAATAACTCTCACCTTATCAGACTGAGTGTTCTCATGCAAGATTCTAGCATCAATAGCAGCAGCCAGCAAATTATTTGCAGCAGTTATAGCATGAATATCTCCAGTCAAATGAAGATTGAACTAGAAGATGAAAACAACAAAATCCTTTTATAAGAAATCATTTAACTCAATTTATTAAATTTCAGACAGATTAGCAGCAACAACCATTGCTATGTCCTTGAGGTTGCAGCTCTGATTAGTTACCTATCAGTGTAGATGAAATATTATCAGGCTGAAAATACACTGAGATATACGAAGGTCTGGTTTTCACCTGCATACTTGGTGAAGTACCCTTAGTTTAGCCAAACAAAGCCAAGAGCATCTTTATTCTTTGCTAAATGACCCAGGAATGAAAAGCCCAGGGCTACAGTTCCACATCATTAAGACTAAATCAGTTAAATACTGTCAGTATTTACTAATTGACCTGGAGCAGGGGTGCAGATTTCTGCTGATTTCCCCAGAGCACACTGTACATGCTGGGTTTGGGAGTGTGTGCCAGCTTTCTGCCCCGGGAGAACAGCCTGTGGCTTATCAGGCTTCAACTTTGCTGATATAAAGTTTGCCCAGCAAAGTTTTTTAGAAAAATCTGAAATCAGCAGTTTAGATTAGATTAGGACTTATTGAGTAGGTACTCTATTCTTCATATATCTCTGACAGAAGGAGGTGGAAGGTTAGTTTCAGTAGCACTGCAACACTGACTGGAGAGGGGCACCAAAAGCAGCTGACACAAGCCTTTGTGCTCACACTCACATGCAACAGGGGAACCAAAACTCTAACCAAGTGGTAAATTAGGGCTCTGCTTGGACCATTCTGTGCACTTTCAAGCAGTACTTCACCAGCTCAGGCTATCCAGTGGTTCTGTTGAGCTCTAAATTATGACACTTTTGGGGTGAAACCATCATGCATTTCCAAACAAGCACTGAATATACATGTAAGCTTAGCTATACTATCCTCATGTGTCCCATTGCCCAGAGGTCTACTTGCATTTTATGCTCTGGAAAATAACACAAAACCCCATCGGCAACTACAGCATGCTGAGCCCTTAGGCATGTGGCTAAGCCTGCTGAGGACAAGGGACAGAGGTAAAGGAAGGCACCTAGCTCAGATGGCAGCAGCCAGCCGACAACATTGTACACAGTTTACACTTCATCTCTGTCCTTGACCCAGCCTGTCCATAAATGCATGGACCACATAGCTTTACATTGTGAATGCTGTGCTAGGCAAGGGTGCATACTTCAGAGTATCATTGTTTTCACAGTGAGAGTATTTTGAAAGCATGCACTCAGTCAGCTCCTTTGAAAGGTGGCACGTGAGTTTCAGAACCCTCAAATAGAGCTAGGGATGATGCCATCTTCAACAGAAACCCATTTACTTTTGAGCAGAGGAAAGCTGCAGATTAATTTACAAGTAAGAAAACAATTCTTCCACTTGGACAGTGCCACGGCGCCAAAGCAACACGAGCCCTGAGTGTCACTGGACCCCTGGGACTCCCTCATAGGCCATGACCCTATGTCAGCCTCCGGGGCCATCAGCCTCTGCCCCAGCCATGCTGCAGCAGGGCTGGTCTCCAACTCCTGCAGCCCTGCCCAGCCATAGACCCCATCAGTTGCTCATGTCCCAGCCTATCCCCATGGAGGTGCGCAGTGTCTGGGCTGAGGCTGTCCCAGTGCCCCTGCCTGCCTGCTCTGACATATCATCATCACTGACCAAGTGCTACAGCATCCCTCCCAGAGGGAAAGGGACTCACTGCCCCCCATCCCTGTCTCACCTCCTCCATCGGGATCACTTGAGCATATCCACCACCGGCTGCTCCACCTGTGCAGGAAAGCACATAGTCACATCAGACTCTGACCAGTTTCAGGAAAAAACATATGAAGTCAAACATACAGTGTTGATGACACATTTCTCAGCATTTCAATTTCTATTAGGGGATTAATGATGCACCCAAATGAACAGGATTTCCTTAAACCTTGCTGGCTTTTTCCAGCAGGCAATAAAAGGGGAATTCTTGATCTGAAATGAAATCCTACACATGATGGCTGGCCCAGACTTCAGCTACATAAGGGCTACCCTTTACTCCTGCCCATATTTAGGATACAGTCATGCACATGCAGCTGTTGGGTGGAAAGACATAGCAGTCACAAGCAAGCACTGCTTCCGAAAGAAACCTTCACACCCTTGCCTGAGTGCTCCTTCCCCACTGCCTCTCAGGGTACAGGCAAAGAAGTTCACTGTAGCCTACGCACAAGTTGAGTGGAGGGATTAAAGCACTCACATTCACCAGTCTTGGCTGAGAAGCACCAAGCACCAGGAGCCTTCCAGCTGAAATCAAACTTGTTAACTTAAACTTCAGCAAAGCAAAGTAGAGCAGATGGGGAGTGCTTGCCCAGTTAGGCACCAAACTCAGCTGAGAAATGGCAAAAAAAAGATTACATTACTTCCTATCAGCATTGAAGACAGGCTTGAACTCTGGCTGGCTCTTACCTGGCCCTCATGCTGTTATAGGGTTTCTAGGCAGAAAAGCTGTGATTAGGGGCGACAACTCAGAAGAACAGAAAGAGGTTCAGACCAAGCCAAATGCATGATGCAGACAAGCTGAACCATATGCTTAACTGCCAACTTCCTTAGCTTGGATATTTCTAATCAATATGAATGGATTTAGGACTCCTTCTCAAGGAAGAATTAAACAATAACCTTTAGAGACATTTTTAGAGTCTCCAAGTAGAGGAGCTGCTGGAAGGGCAACTCTTTTTGTGCGTACTTGCACAAAAGTCCTGGCTAACACATCCCCATGCCTTTCACTGTGTTTGAGCTTCATCTGCATTATCAATACACATTAAGTTCATGAACATAGATATGATCCTTGCATGGGAAGACGTGTGCAAGAAACGTTTATCTATTAGGTACATACTTTCAAAAAATCTGAAATGCTACCATTCAGACAACTCACTGAGTGAAGTAATTGAAGAACTGAAATCAAAAGGAAAAAAAAGGAGCAAAAGAAAAAAGTATTTTCTTTTAATCTTACAGAGGTCATAGAGTCTGCAAATATTATGTACCTTTAACTCCAAAAGTAGGTCCTTGAGACGGTTGTCTCAGACAAGCAAAGGAATTAATATTAAGGTGTGCAGTAAGCGCCTGAACGAGACCAATTGTGACTGTGCTTTTCCCCTCTCCTAGGGGTGTAGGGGTTATTCTAGCAAAACAAGAAAAAAGATTAATCAAATTCTTTGCTGATGTCAGCCTGGCTAAGGATATCAGAACTTAAAGCTTTTGATTTCAATGAAGAATATTTGTACAGCAAATTTCAATAAGATTACTTTATCTCCACAAAAATACTGCCACAATGTTAGCCCCTAGCTCAAGTTGGAATGCTAATATACATGTGTCTTCGATTTAAACAATTTACTATGATAGCAGAAAAAGAGGAGATTATTTTGGCAAAAGTTCTAAAAAGAATATATTGAATTTAGACATTTTTATTACAGTATAAGTCTCACTAGTTTCATTAACAAGCCATCCATCAAGATACTCTAAGCACGTATTAATACTTCTCTGTAGTAATGCATGAGATGTTTTATTCCCACTGCTCAAAATTTGAATGAAATAACAGAATATTTTAAATTAAATAACCAACACTTCTGTACGTAGAGCTCAACTATCCCTCTCCAGCTGCCATGTCATTGCAACCCTCAACAATGACGGATCAACTGCTTTTTATTTAAAACAGGACATGCAAGTCACTATATTCAACTGAACATGATTTATTTTACACTTATGTTTCATGATATTGTTGCAGATTTAATGGTGATGAGAGACAATTACAATCATAGTCCAGCCTCTCATATAAATGCTCAAAAGCATCGTGCTACAACTCCCACACCTAGACCATGACTGAATCAGGCCAGAATTTTAGAACGATATCCAGCCTTCAATCAGAGACTCTAAACTCCTCTCAAAGACTCTATTCTTGTACCTTTAAGGAAGGGACAATGAGAGCTGATTTTGCAAGTAGAAAACGTCATCAGCCTTCTGTGAACAACAGACGCCTCAGTTTAAGTGATGTCTTCCCTACTTTCAAGGTCCATGTTAAAAGCGGGGGAGTCTTGGAGGTTTTATTTATTCATTTTTTTTTTCTTCCTTAAAGTATGAACATGCCTCATGTCTCCAAAATGCATTCAAATGATTCAAGTGAGGCACAGCATTTCTCCTTCTGACTGGCAAAAGAAGAAAGCCCCAGTCCTTCTTCCACTCACAGAGCTCTCACACAAGTCCCACTTTCTGGCAAAGTGTAACCATTCATATCTTTTCTGTCTTCACTACTTGCAGAGAACTAAGTACTTTACTGAAGTTGACATTAAGAACTAATGTTCATTCCCAAGGAAATACAAGCACGCGCACACATCCTAGTCAAAGAGGAACCCTTATCCTATGACCTCTTCAAAACTTGAGCTAAAACATCTAGCTCTAATTAGAAACACTTCCTCTCCCAACCAGTAATTTTTCCAAGATATTGCTATCCTCAGAGCACAACTCAAATGCATTAAAACATCAGTAAAATTGTAAGATTCAGCTTAGTTCAGTCAGTTCACAAATTTACAAAAGCCCTTCTTTCTCCCACAGAATATAAACACATGAAGAACGTTAACTTGTCACAAATCTATCTTTTACTTCATCATTGGATCCTGGGCTTTTTGTTAAGAAAAAAGAAGCCTTTGTCTGAAAAAATTTGGGCAACAGAAGGCAAGCCAAATTAACACCTTCTAGTGGTAGGTGTCCCTGCCCATGGTAGGTAGGGGTGGAACTAGATTATCTTAAGGTCCTTTCCAACCCTAATCATTCTGTGATCCTACGATTCTATGCTGTTCTAGGAAACAATTTTCCTATTGAGAAAAGTAACGTTTTAACTCAAGTTTCAGTGAAATCAATGGAATTTAGTACATCTAGAAGAGATTCCCTAAACTATGTCTACTGGCAGCTTTGAACTACCTTTATATGATCATGTAGCACATGGGTTAATTAATTTGGGCATTTGTTTTCAGTCATTTTTTCCCAAGTTTATAATATCATGTTTGCCAACCATCTGATTCTTAAGTATTGCCAATAGCTTACTGTCCACACTACTTTGGCATCCCAGCTTTCTATTCCAATAATTTCTTTAGAAAGCTTATTTAAAATATCTTCCTTTTTGTACCTGGCCTACTTTGATCAGGTTTTATAAATAACATAATCCTCTTAAATGGTTTTATGAACATTGAGATGTTTTTGCTGGCTATACTACTGAGCCTACAGTACTGCAGCTTAGGTCACTTGCTTGCCTGAGTATAAATTACAACTGCTAACTTTAGCTCAATTGTGCAATGCTGTGTTTTGACCTTATGCAAATCTAGGGGAAAAAAAACAACCTCCTTTAAAATACAGTAAATTTTCATGAACTTCGAGAGACTTTTACATCCATTTGCATTATTCTTCAAATTTCTTTAATATGTTTTCAATCTAAACACAGAAACCTCACAATCATTTTCCTCCTTAAAACTTACTTTGCCACCTACTAAGCAGTCACCAGCTCTTCGGCAAAGCAAGTTTTCCATAACTTTGGAAAGTCTTCTCTTTTTATGTATATCAAAACAAAGATAAGAATATGCAGACTTTTTGTTTGTTTATTATACATCACATCAGCTTACAGCGGAGCTGTTTCTGTGGGAAAGCTGCATGAAGTCTCACAAAGAGAAAATAAACAAACAGTGAGATGATACACTGCACCAGCTGTAACCTCCTCACAGCTACCCCAGCCGCTGTGACTCCAGCAAGAACTTTGCTGGATATGTGACAATCCTCCTCTTTCAAATTTTCTATCTTCAACTCATCAGTATCAGCAGTTTTAAAGATTTTAATGAGTTCACCATTCCTGTGATCCACCTGGAAGCCTGAAAAGCCTCGCTATGGGGGGTACGGGCAACTGAGTTCCCACAAATGACAGCCTCACCTACATACATCTCCCAGCCAAGATTACAACTGTCAGAAATGTGTTTCTGAGCACAGAAGTGTTGCAATTCCTCCTTCATGGGGGTGAGATTATGGTAACATTGCAGTGGCATCCTCGAAATGGGACTTGAGCTTCCAGGTATGAAAGCACATTGATCACTGTGAAGCTAAAATGACTGAACAAAGCCAGGAACTCTGAAAAGCCAACAAACTCATCCAAGATAATCCCAGTCAGGAGCTGTGCAACGACATGCAGAATACATGACAAACCATCTCAGCCATGACTTTGCTTTGGACTGTCAGATTTTTCAGTGCATCAACACAGTGGTATTTTCTCCTCTTATTTATCCCTGTATTTTTCCTTTTTTTTCTTTTCATGTCTACCATTTTTCTCACCTTTTAAGCACCTTGTGGCCCAAGAAACACAATGAAAAGAAATCCAATCCAATCCATACCTATTAGAAGTAAAATGCAATTCCAAATCTGAAATTTCTGTCCCTAGGATATTTCTTTACCATCATACAACCTGTACAAGCATTAAGTTAGTATTCATTTCCCTCAGTTTTTACCTGACCAACAGGGTAGTTCTTCACAAAACAATCTACTAATGTTAGGTGAAAAGTACTGATTTTATGTTTTCCAGCGTTCAAAATCCAACATGCTTCTTACTAAAAGCAGCACGATATTCCATATTTTTTCCACATTCAATTATTCCTTTGCTTGCATTTTTTGAAGTGAACAAGTTTCCAGAATTATCTGGTAAAACCCACAGCACTGAAGCGTTTAAAAACAAAATGCTGGAACACACAGAGTCTAATTGATTTTAGATGTAGTTTTCTATTGTGTTTACAAATATGCCATCTACATGCTTGAATGCATGATTAAGTTATCCTGGGCACTAAACTTAGCTACTAATCATGCACAAGCTTCGTTCACTTGCATGCTCTCAGCTTGCAGTGAATGAGAGGCAGTCTGAGTTAACATATACTGCAACATATTTATTGATTTTTTTTAGTACGCTAAAAGCCTGTATGACAGGCAGTGGATGCCCAGGAGCTAATTTCTGCATAACTCATTACTCTGATCCCTGTAACAAGTCTCACACACACAGAAAACCCCAACTAAGAATGAAAAAAGTGAAAGAATGCTTTCCACGCAGAGGATAATTGAAGTTATGAAGAAATTAAGTCTTCGTCCTATGTTCAATACAGCTACCCTTAGAGATAAAATAGTACATTTGATTGCATTTTGTTATTTAGAACAAGTTTGGGCTCTAGCACATCAGGAATAAACTAGAAGTTCATCTGTAGAAAACATTTATCATTCCTAGACATAATGAAACATTTAAACTCGATTGTGGAATTACAGGCACAAATGTTACTGGCTGTATCATGGACAGAGGTTAGAGATTTTGCAGCTTGTTGAATACACACACACTTTTCACTCCCTTCACATACAAAAAGTACATATCATACATAATATATATTTCCCTCATACCAAATACCCTGAAGTACAAGCATATATCTTAAATGTTTCCTCTGAAGCACTGGAAACTTATTCTGAAGCTTTATAAGGCATCATTCTAAAAGAATTTCTAAGTATCTTTGGTTATTGTGAACAAACATAATAATCCTCCAAGTGGTTGGCCAAAGGTTTTGGTTGACCCTGCCTTGGCAGGGAGAGGATGAAGAAGGCAACTGAGGATACTATTTCACTCCCCGATTTCCACACTTGAGTGATATTCAGTTTTCATCATACTAAACATAATCTGGTGGGGAACCACCAGATGCAGTTCCCCACTTCTACTGAAATCATTGCCTGATACAGTCATTTCAGCAAATGAGAACAGCTGAGAACACTTAAACACAAGTTCTACATGTATTTTACATGTCAAACTTTGAACTCTCTCAGAAGAGAATGTTCCCACCATTGTAACCACTTTACCCAGGCACTCCTTGTACAGCAGATGGGTTTTGTATTCACCCCACCAGATGCAATGACTTCAGAGAAGTTACAAATAGCAACATACTGAATAATCAAGTAGTGTAGGTACCAAACCCAACCATTTGTTTGTGAGACATAGTTTACTCTTTATACATGTTATATAAACTTAAGATACAGTTTTCTATTTGTTGACAGCTTTTCATCTTGCTAGTCAAAACTTCCCTATTTCTTCCACGTGTATATAAACTTCTGTGTGTGCCAACAAAACAGCGTTCAGACAATTGCTTGATACCTTCCTTGAAGAACGGGAAGACAAAGCAGGATGAAAAAACATGAGTGCTGGTGCCTGCAATCTGACACAAATAAAATCCGCCGGAATGGGGCTTTGCATCATGCTATCTTCCACCTCCAAACATTTTCAAATAAGCTGTGTTTCCGTGAGATTTTACTAGAGAAGCCTGGCACAGCCTGCAGTACGGTGCCCAACTGATGCAGTTGACAACATGAGCCTGAAAGTACGTGGTAGCAACTTTCTTCAAACTCAGACAAATACTGAATCTGCTCTTCTTTCTTCAAGGCAGCCAAATACAAAATATAACTCTACTGAAGGAAACCAAGCTCAAACAGCTATTATTTCCTTCTCTTAAACAACTGCTCCAATGTCCTCCAGGAACATCTTTATACATTGCACTTCTATTACATAGCTTTGAAGACAGCTTCATAACTTGTCTGCCTCAGCTTTGTAATATCACGTCTCTCAGTCTACAATAGCTCTACCTCAGATACTGCCAGAAATCCAGGTTGTCCCCACAGGGAGGTAGTAAAGCAAACAGTTTGTGAAACACTACCCCAGCTGAGGAACTGGTAGATCAAGGCAGCTAAGAACAGCCTCTGCTTCTGGATCAGCCTAAAGCTGTATTTTAAACCTTACAAGGAAATAACCATATAAATTCAGAATATAAAGAACATATGCAATTTAAATACTAATGAAAACCTTCATGTTTGTGCACAGTTAGGAGTTTCTACTTAGCAAACCAGGTGAATGAAAAAATGTTGTGTCACTGAATGCAGAAAAAATCCTTATCTCTTCAGAAGAGGATAATTCCTGC